TGAGGTCAGCCTTTGGAGCTGGGAGGCCCAGAGGAGCACCCTGCCCCTGGCCCATCTCCTGTTACCATCCCATCACCTGCTGGCCAGTGGCAGGGGACGGAGAGGGGAGTTAGGCAGGCAGGGGCTAGGTGACCTTGTGAGGTCCCCTTCGTCCTGCTCTGCTCCACCACCTCTCGTTTTTGTCCGGGCACTCACTGTAGACATCTCTGAAAGCTCTAATCTGCAAAGCCCTGGGGGGCTCCACACTGCGCTGGCTGCTATTATCCCCGAGACAAAGAGGGACAGGCAGGCAGATTACCTTGGCCTTTATTTTTTCAGCTGGGAGCAAAGAAAAGCCTTAAATGAGCTTGCTGCCAGGGAGGGATTGACGGGGCAGAGCCCCCAGTGCCCTGCACTCCTTCCTCTCCCCAGATGCCGGGACCCCCCTTCCCATCCCTCCTGCTGTCCGCTCGCTCCCTGCGCTGCTGCAGAGCCCCAGGGCGAGGCAGGTTTTGCCCCGGGGCTCCCCTGCAGTGTCTCGGGCCATGTAGCACCTGGGGCTGGCGTGGCCAGGAACGAGCCGGCGCTCACACACACCTCGTACCCACATCCCTGTGCCTGCTGCTCCATTTCCAGGCCGGAGCGGCGATGGGCTCATCCCGCACGGCTCAGGGGCTGCCTCCCACCCAGCCTGGCCCCGTGCCGAGACGGCCCCGCCAGGTCCCCTCCATATGGTGCCCCTGGCCGGCTCCCAGCACGGGGCAGGTGCTCTCGTCGGGACTACACAAAACCCCATTGTGGCATTCCCTTCCCTTCCCTGGCCAGCCCCAGCACCTCCTCCTCTGGCTGTCCTGCAGGGATGTCCCCTGCTGTCCCCTCCCGAGCAGCCCCGCTGGCTGGGTGATGGGTGGGCTGTGTCTCCCGGCCGCTGAAGTGCTGATGGTTTTATGCCCAGCACTTCATTATGGCCCCGGTGGCCAGGGCCATGTGCTGGCGAGCGGCGCTGGCTGTGACCCCGCCGAGCCCATGGCAGCAGCACAGCACACGTGGAGTTTAATTATTGCCTTTCTTCCTCAACAGAGTACATTGGCTGACCTTAATGCAATTAATTAGGGCTTAATCAACTTCTGGTGGCTCAGCACAGCACACAGTGATTCCTACCTTTCCAGGAGGGTTTATAAGAGGTTAAAGCAGTGGAGGGGAGGGTGTGGTGTTGTTTGTGGGTTTTGTGGGGCTGTGCTAATAAGTAAAGTTAGTGAGGTGTTGGGGTAGACCTTGTGTCCTCCCAGGCTGGGCTTGTTGCTGGAAATTCTGGTAAAGGCAGGGGAGAGGTGAGCTGGGCTCAAAAGCTGTGTCTGAAGTGATGCTTCACAGAAGTGCTTGTGTTGCTTGTTTTGGCATGGGTGGCTTGTGGTGGGAGTGTGACTGGGTTGTGCATTCAGCAGCTGCTGGTGGGTGGCTCTTAGCTTTGCACCCAGAGTGCTGGAGGTGATGTGTGGGGACCCCTTTGCCTCCTGGAGCAGCTCTCAGCCTTGGACACGAGAAGCTGTTGGTCACTGACTGTTCCTGAGCAAGAGGGAGGCTCCTTCCCCTCCCTGCCCAGCAGCATTTAAAATTAATAGCTCTCATTAATATAACAGAATGTCCCCTTGGGCCCTTGGCCTGCACCCCATGGCTCCTCTTGCCTTCCTTGCTGGGTGCCCCAAAAGCTTTTGGAGCCCCTAAAAAGGGCCCTAGACACAGATGTCCAGCATAAAGACTTCTTTGCATGTCTTGTGTTTCCAAGCCAGCAGGCACCTGTTGGCACAGCTGGTGATGGGTTGTCCTTGGGCTGCTGGGGATGAAGTGACTCAGCCTTGGGCTTGCAGAAAGCCCCTGCCAGGGGAGGTGACCCTGTGCAAGTGGTGGCATGTCCTGGTGTCACCTGTGGTGATGGAGGCTGAAACCATGGCATGTCCTGCTGTGTACCCTCACATCCTGCATGCTTTGTATCCCCTCTGTGCCATCATCCCATAGCACTTCCTGCCCCACAGTGGCATGTCCCCCTCTGTCACTGTTTCTTTGGGTCCCCACGTCCCTGACTGTGCCACCAAGCCCCCTCGTGCAGGCTGCCCAGTGCTGGGACTGGGATGTGGCAGCAGGAGCTGTGCCAGGCACTGTTACTGCCTTGTTTGCTTCAGTGCCAATTCATTAATATCAAAAAGCTAATTAGGATTCCACAGCCCTTCCCACCCAGCCCTCTCCTTTGGAGGCTGGAGGATACTTGTCTGCAGGATTTTGCTGCAGCCCTGTGTTCAAAGGAGTCACTTCTGCTCTGTCCCATCCCGGTGGTTTGTGTCCCTCTCTCTGTTCCTGGCTAATCCATGTGCCTAAAGCCCCTCGAAGCCTGGCAAATGGGAAGTGATATTTGCCAATAATCCCTCTGCTCTCCTGGGCAGGCTTCTCATATTACAGGTTTATTAAAAAAAACAAAACCCAGGCAGCAATAACTGTGGCCCCAGGGAGAGCCCAGGCACAGATTGTTCCTGGTCAAACCCCACCTGAGAGGAGAGCCCAGGCCCAGCCCCATCTCCTGGAGCATCTCTAGGCAGAGCCCAGCCCCTCTTGCAGGCACAGGAGTGAGCCACAATCCTCACTCTCCCTAGGGAACAAGCAGGATTCCCATGAGTCACAGACTAAATCCAATTTCTCCCCTGAAAGGCTGTGGGATAAGCCCTGCTATTGCTCACCAGGGCTGCCCAGTCCGTGCCAGCACCCCCTGGCCTTGGCACCTTTCCCACGGCTGGGCAGGAGCAGCTCCTGCCCTGGCATCTTGCAGGGACAGGACAGAGCCAGCACCACCTGCCTGGCACCTGCTAGGACAAACACAGACTCTGCTGCTGCTTTTTTGCTTTGCTTTGCAAAGCTTTTGAGGAAACTTGCCCAGAATTAGGGATGCTGTTTGCTGTTTCTTCCAGAACAAGGTAGTGGTGTTGTTCCATCCTTTCCCAAAGTCTTGTCTCCTTGAGAATGGGTTTTTCCCGTGGGAAATTCAAACCACTAAATATGTGTAGCTGGGGGTGGGTTTTTTTGTTTTTTTTCCTGCAAAAAATATCAATTTCCCTGCAAGGAGTCTCACTTCAGCTCGAAACATTTCATTGCATGGACTGGGGGTTTCCTTCTGGTTTTAAGTCAACATTTCCCCTCAAAATGTCACTCAGGGAAAGCTGCTTTTTTTTACAGCCAAAGTCTGTGATGACATTTTAAGTGGAGAAGAAAATTGCTGCTTCGTTTCAAAATGTCAACTTTGAGTGGGGTGGGCTTAGAGTTTTGTTGGTTGGTTTTTTTTTTTCATTCCAGTGTTTCCCAGGGGAAAAGCAAAATGGTTTCATTAGACTAACTGTTGCCCCCCCATCATCTCCAAAATAAATGTTTGCCTTTTTTTTTTTTTTTTTTTTAACCTGTTTGCATTTTTGTAGCAGGGAAACTTTTGCCAAGAGAAGTTGTGCTCCAGTGGGATGCTGCCTTGGGAAAGGACAACCCTGCTGCATCCAAACCTGAGCCCTCTATGGCAAATTCTCTGCCACCAAACTCCAGTGAGGACCTGTGGGAGAGACTCCACTGCTGCTGCCTGGCCTTGGTTGCTGTGGGAAGGATTAACAGCACATCCAGGTTTTGAAGCTCTCCTCTTCCTGCTTTCCCTCTGCCTTGTGCTCCTGCTTTTATTTCATACAGCTCTCCTCGAAAATTGCTTGTTCTAGATTAGGCTGGAGACTGGAGTTATCTTCCTTTTATTTATTAGGGTAATTATACCTAATGATTCACATGCTCGGGGAGAGTAATTGCTCCCAAATACAGCGCTGGCAGTGTTCTTACCCAGCCGGGGTGCAGTGATTCACAAACACATCTTTTGCTACAATTCATCAGCTGATGATCCCGTAATTGCTGACTTGGTTTGGCGCGGTTAAGGCGCGATCGCGGACCCGGCGCTGCCCTCCTGGTGTTGGGTTCCCTTGCTGGTGCAGTCCCTGGGAGTGCCTCCTCCCTGCCACCCGAATGCCTGGCACCACTCATTTCCTGTCTGGGTTTTGCTGGGGATTTTGGTTGGGCCAAGCCCCTCAAACTGTGGGATTTGTGCTTTTTAAACAGTCACGGTGCGTAATGTGGCAAATTCCATGGCACAGCCTGGCCGAGGGAAAGCCAGGGCTGTTCCTCTCCTCAGTGGGAATGACCTCTCCATCCTCCCAAAAAGTGGCAGAGGTGTGGTTTGACTCTCATCTCTTCACAGCTCTTGGAGCAGATGGATGAGAGCCTTGGAAACCCTGATGAGGAAACCCAAACCCGGCAGGTTTTGCTCTGAAAGGAGTTTCTGTGTGGATGGATTCCCCCTTTCCTGGGGTCTGGCAGCCCTCTGCCTGCACTGCCCGGGGAGGGGAGGCCTTGCCTCGGGACTCCTGCACCATTCAGCGTGGGCAGGGACATCCCACGAGGGACGATGTGCAGAGTCCCCCCTTCTGCACTGCTCCAGCCCCTGCAGAAACCTGGGCACTGCGGGTGGAGAAGGCAGAGTGGGAGTGCTGCTTCTGGGAGTGTTTTGTAGAGTGGGGATGCTCCCAGTGCTACCCTGTGGCATGGAAAGGCAGCCTGAGGTTTGAAATTCCTCCTGCTGCCCTAAGGGGAGCCCAGGGTGATGGCTCTGGGGTGTCTCAGCTCCTCTGGAGCTGCTTAAGACAACACTGTAGTGCTCAGCTGGAGGCTGCTGGTCGGCTGTGCTGTCTTGGGCCAGCAAAAAGAGTTTTTTGGTGCTGTGTGGCAACCAGAGAGTGTATTGGTACTTTGTTGGGAGGGGTTTGTTGTTTGGGTTTTTTTGTGGGGGGGTCGGTGTGAAGTTTTTATTTGCTTAGTTTGGTTTTGGGTTGGTTTTTTTTGTTTGGTTGGGGGTTTTTTAAATTTTTTTTTTAGCTAGAAGACCCTTTTCTTCTCAGTCTGGACTGCATGAGCCTACACCCACCACCCATCCTCGCCTGCCCCAGGCACTGCTCCAACTCTCCCATCCCGTGGATGCCAGAATCACTGCCAGGCTGTGAGAGGAGGTGGCACAAACAGCCCTTTCTGCTGGCCACCACTTGGCTCCATCCCCAGCACTGCCTGGGTGGGCTCCCAGGGGAGCCTGCCCTGGCTGTCCCCCACCCCTGAGCATGGTGTTGTGCCACTGCTGCTCTGTGAGCGTTCATGGGAGGAACAGCTCCCTGCTTTCCCTCCACCCACATCCACCCCCTTACAGGAGGATCCACGCTTGTTCACCTTAGTGCCTGGCCCCCTGTCAAGAGCTCCTGCAGGCAGCCAGGAGCTGCTCCTAGTGGGCTGCCAGGGGATTTGGGATCTGACAGCTGGGTGCTGACAGCTCCCTGCAACTGCTGCCTGCAGCTGCTGGGCCCTGCTCTCGCTGGTCAGGTGGAGAAGGATGCTCTGACCACCACAGGGAGGAGGCTGGCTCCCTTTTCTCCCTTCACCAGGTGTTGGTGATGGTGTTGGAGGGTTGTGGTACCCACTGCCCTGGTGGGGCTGGTAAAGCCTTGGGGACAGTGGTGGTACAAGCAGAGGGATTCCAGGCTGGAGGAGCTCCTGCAGGGTGATGCTCCCCGATGGGCACTGTGAGGGGAGGAGGTGTGGGTGCTGCACAGAGCAAGTCTTGTCACAGCTCCTAGCAGGGAGTTGGGATGGGAGGCCCTTGTTAGCTGGGAGTGCTGGGAGCAAGTGCTGACACCTCCTGGGGCTTCCTCTGCAGCAGCTCGGGGGCCTCCCAAGCTTTCTCCTGGCTGACACATCGCCTCTCCTCCCTGTTTGATGCAGGGCTCCTGTGTCTCCCCACAGACCCCACACAGGGGCTGGGGGGGATCCTGGGGCTCCCTGGGGTCCGGCTCCATCCCAGCGGGGCCGTGGCAGCCCAGGCAGAGGGACTGTCCCGTCATCCTCCAGCACGGAGCATCTCCCAGCCTGCCGTCTTGTATGGCTTTTTATTCCTATGTGATTATACATCCCACTTCATATAGGGATTGAAGCCGTGCAGTACGCCGGGCTCCTGCGGCAGAGAGCAGCCCCTGTGCCACGGGAGCCGGCCCAGGAGGAGCCACCAGAGCTGTCCCCAGGGTGCTGCAGGGACTGCTGGGACTCCGTCCTGCATCCCAGGCTCCCCAGCCCTCTTGGGATGCAGGTGAGGGGTGCCAAGCTGCTTTGGGGTGAGGCCAGCACAAGCCCACGCCTTGCATTGCACCCCGTTGCAAGGGTGGGCCTGGTTCTGCACCACGTCTGCTGTGAGAGCCCCATGACTCCCTGGTGGGCTCATCCCTGGGGAATCTGCTGCTTTGGGACTATCCTGGGATATGCAGCATCTGTGTGCAGGCACTGCCAGCAGCACAGGGGAGGAAGAAGAGGAAAAAGATGCTGAGGAATGGCCACGACAGCAAGGGCTGCCCCAGGCACGATGCTCTTCAAGGTTTCTCAAGAGGCCTCAGCCACTCTTTCAAGGTTTGTGTTATATCTGTCACATTAGCGAAAATGGTGAAAATTGTGGCTTGTGGAGGAGATGAAAGGCAGCCCCTTCCAATGCCTCCATAAAGGAAGGGCCCCATTAACACCTAGTGAATTATTGGCCATTAATCAGGCTCTGTGCAAAATAAAACCATCCACATTTATCATTATTGGATCCTTAATGAAGTGATAATGGGAATGCTGGGGAGCTGTGATATTAATGTCTTCTAAGAGGCAAGAGCAGAGCCAAGGGCGGCAGCCAAGATTTTTAATTTACTGCCAGAAGCTCGTGCTGTTAATAACGCTGTTACTTCTCCCGGCCGTTAGCACTGTTTGGCTGAGAGCTGCCAGCTTAGGAGAGCAAATCAATCCTGAGCATACCCAGACTTTGTTCACCTGCTCCCCACACAGCAGCTGAGCATGTTTTTGCCGCCCAGTGTCCCCTGCCCATGTGTAGGGATATGGCCAGGGAGCTGCTGGCCACCTTCACCCAGCTGACTCCTTCCTGAAGGCTGGCTGGTGTAGAAAGTTTTGCTTTTCTGATAAAAAGCAAAGGGACTGTGACCATCAAGCCCCAGTGTCTCTTACTGTCCTCGCTCTCTCTGTGACTTTTCTCCTCAGGCACGAGCCCCCAGAGCCAGGGTGGCGTGGAGCTGGTCCCAGCACAGCCCACACACTGGGGTTGCTCCGTGTGACTGCAGCCACACTCTGGTGTCTTCATTTGCACAGCTCTACTCCCATGAGGCCAATATCCCATCCAGGACAGCATGGACAAGCTGCAAAGCCCTGCTCAGCTGTGGTGACTCACTTGAGTTCCCAATGGGAAAGTCATTGCTCCTGCCAAGCCCTGCCAGCCCGGAGGCAAATCATTACCAGGCAGGTAAGTGATGTTCTCACGTCTTGAGATTTGTGTTATCTCACAAATCCTGCTAAACCTGGACAGTGTGGCCCCATGTTGGCTCATGCATGGGGCCTTTTGACCTTTTGTGAAGGGACTGCAGGTCAGAGGGAGCTGGCCTTGGGCTGGAGAGATAGCAGACAATTCCCTGCTGAGCACTGTGCAGAGGAATAAGATGCTGCTTTGTCTGTGAGGGCTGAGCACACTCCAATGCTCCTCTTGTCCCTAGGTAGAAGTTGCACAAGGTCCACCAAAGCAACCCCTTGGAAATGGAGCTTTGAGTTATCCAGGTAGAAGCATCAGAGAAGTATTTCTGTGGCCTGGGTGCTCTTGCTGAACCTCCCCCTGGCCTGTTATCTCCTCATTAGGAAAGAAAGGACAAGAACAAAAATCCATATATGGCAGCCAAGCAAAGGTAGATGGGAAATGCACTTCAAACAGCTCCATCCTTTCAACAAACCTTTTATTAGACTTCTCTCCTCCCCAACACACACTCTTTAATCGTTATGAAAAGCCACCATTCAGGAAGCAAGGACACTGCTTGGGCTACCTGGAGTAGGCATTTCCCAGGAGAAGCCAGCCAGCACTAGCCCAAGATCCTCTGGAATTGACTGGGAGGCAGCACAAGCAGCAGCTCCAAGTCCAGGGTGGTGCTCAGCAGTGTGGCAGGGCTGTGGGCAGGGGTTTATGGTGGCCCTGTGCCCAGGCTGGCACACTGAACTCCTGCTGAAGTGACCCTTCTGCCAGGCACCCCAGCCCAAAAGCAGAGTCACTCTGCATTCCACTGGAGCAGCATGGCCCAGGGAGTGCTCAGCACGTTGTGGAGCCAGCAGGATGGCCCAGGGAGGGGACAGAACGTTGTGGAGCCAGCAGGATGGGCCAGGGAGCGCTCAGAACGTTGTGGAGCCAGCAGGATGGGCCAGGGAGCGCTCAGAACGTTGTGGAGCCAGCAGGATGGGCCAGAGAGTGCTCAGCACGTTGTGGAGCAACAGGATGGGCCAGGGAGGGCTCAGAACGTTGTGGAGCCAGCAGGATGGGCCAGGGAGGGTACAGAACGTTGTGGAGCCAGCAGGATGGCCAGGGAGTGCTCAGCACGTTGTGGAGCCAGCAGGATGGCCCAGGGAGGGCTCAGCACGTTGTGGAGCCAGCAGCATGGCCAGGGAGGGTACAGAACGTTGTGGAGCAGCAGGATGGCCCAGGGAGGGCTCAGAACGTTTGTGGAGCCAGCAGCATGGCCAGGGAGGGCTCAAAACGTTGTGGAGCCAGCTTTACCCAGTTGTCCTGGCTGCAGCCCATACTTGTGGCTGTATCACTGCCCATGTTAGTGCCCCATGGAGCTGCCCTGCTGGGCACGGAGCAGGCGACCTGCCAGCGACCTCTGGAGAAAAACACCCGGCACAAAGCAGCTTCTCCTGCACAACCACCCCCTGACATTACGGGGGCACAGCGAGCTCTGTAACGCTTGGCAGATTTTCCCCAGCAGATCTCAGAGCTGTTTGCCACTGTGAGCAAGTTCAGGCATGTTACAAAAGACCTTCAGACTCTGAGGACAAATGAGATGCGTGGATGAGTTTAAACCACCGGGCAAGACTGGGGTTTTGAAATTCCCAGGGTTGTGCCTTATTCTGAGCCTGGGCTGTAGCCCAGACAGTCCAGCTGCCAGCCTGGCATCGACACCAGGCCCCATGATGGTCCTGCTGATATCCCTACTTGTTAGATACTGGCTTCAAAACCAAAGTAGGAGGTTTTGCATCCTCCTCAGAACCCCACCCTCTGATCCACCTTGAAGCGGGGTGCAGAACAACTGACTGTTCAGTGAGACACCACAGGGTGTTGGCACAACGGTGTATTTATGTCACGAGATGAGATCAGCCACACGGAGTAGGTCGGTCTGTCTGGAAAGAGTCTGAGTCAAGCGTGTCCTATTACATTAGAGCTGGTTTTTCAAAGGAGCTCAGCTCCCACTTAGGCTCTGTAACAAACAGACGGATATTCAAAAGGAGTTGGACGTGCTGGGTCATACTGGCTGCTGAGCTAAAGCCCTTTGAATACCCAGCCAAACCGTCAGTGTGCCTGTTGCTGCAGGCAAAGCCCTCCTGAAATCCAGCCCCACTGTGAGCTCCATGTCCTGGGAAACCAAGCTCATCTCTGCTCTCCCACATACCACACTGCAGTAGGTGACAAAAACGTGATGACCACTGTGTCCTCGTGCATGTGGGGGAGCAGCTCCCTGTCAGAGCACAGCTCGGGCAGATATGCCCTTTGATCAGCTCAGCAGCATGGGTCAGGAGAGCTGAGCATGAAGGTTTCCTTGTCTTTTGTTCTGTGGAATTAGCAGAGTTAATCAGAATGACAGCGACTTCTGCCTCAGTGCAGAGGAAAGGTCAGTGGCTCAGGCTGGATGCACGACAGTTTTCTAGGCAGCTGGAAAACAGCACCATGAAAGCTCATAGCATACATGCTGCTGGCACACAGGCTCTCCCAACAGGCACCAGCAGGGAAGATGTTACTGTGGAGGAAGGAGGCTGGAGGAGGACTCCACACAGCTGGCTTGCCACTGCACTTCATTCATCCCCATCCTTACACTGTGCAGTGAAGGTATGTCATCCTCTTTGTCACTATGCACTGCTTATGTCACCCAGCCAGTATCATGAACTTCTCTCTGCCAACGTGCTTCCTAGCCACACTCCTGGGTGTACATCCTGCTGGGCCTGGTCTCTGTCATCTCAGTACCCTGGTGTGGGAAGAGCTGTAGGGCACTGTGCTGGCATGTGGAGCAGGTGCTGGGTGTCCCCTTCCCACCACATCCCCCCAGCAGCTCCATGCTTCAGGTGAGCAGGCCTTGCTCTTACTGCTTTTATATCCATCAGTGACTGCAATTTGCTGCAGTGGACCTCTAAAACCCCACTGCTGAGCTGCTCTTGTGCTAGGGGCACTGGAGGTGCAACAGTGCAGCCAGGGCTCTCTGTGGTAGCCCTGCCATGGCCTCAGCTTCCCTACGTCTCTTAACTTAACTATATCTGAAGCAAGCCTTAAATCCAGTCTCCTTGTTTGTAATGTGACCTTTTACCTTCCTCTGATCCCACCAATTACAAGTGCTTGTTTTTTTTTTACTGTGGACGTCCACTCATGTGTCTAATTAGTGGATTCTTTCTGTCAAAGACACTAGCAGCCTCAACAGTGAGCCCTAATTTAAGTAGTTTGCATTTGTCCGCAGCATTGGTGCTTTAATTTACTCCTGCTCCTAATTAAGTGCATCTGGGTGTCTGCAGAGGGAGCTCTCATGATCTCTCCATGGCTCTAATTAAAATGGCCTGGATGTCCATGACGTTGGTGCCTGTCAAGCCTGTCACCAGGAGGTGATGCCCACCTTGGAACTGGCTGAAGAATGTGTAGGAGTCATTGTTCCTGAGGAAGGCCTCCACATCCAGGCCCTCCTGGAGCGCCTCAGCCACCAGCCCTGGGCTGCAGAAGGCTCCTGCTGCCTCCGTTGGCCCATCCTGTCCGTCTGTCCCCCCACTGAGGAAGAGGATCTCACAGCTCCCCTGGGGGCTGCTGGCTCCTGTGGCCTGAGCCTGGTGCAGCCCCAGCCCCACACGCAGGGCCAGCTCCTGGTTTCTGCCTCCCTTGCCGGTTCCCTGGAGCTGGACCGTGGTTTCTCCTCCAGCCAGGATGCAGACTGGTCTGTCGGGCCCTAACCCTCGCAGGGCCTGCAGGAACTCATCCAGGTCCAAACCTGGGATCTGTAGCTCTGCTGCCAGCTGCAGGACATTGCCCCTCAGCTGGTCCCCCAGGGGCCCTTCTCCGAGGCTGGCGAAGGCCAGGCAGACCAGCTGGATCAGCTGGCAGTACAGCGTGGCAACACGGCCCACCTCGCCACGGACTGCTGCACTCAGGAGCAGAGCTGCATAGCCCAGCCCCTCAGCCTGGCGTCTGGCCTCTTCCAGAGCCACCGTGTTGGACCCAAGGATGATGTTGGAAACGTGGGAGTAGTTTTCTGGAGCAGTGGGCTTGGTGGGAGAGCTGGAGAGGACCATTTCCACTGACTTGGGCAGGTCGTGCAGCAGGTTGTATTTGGTGAGTATCTGAAGGCAGTCTTGGACACTGTGGGAGCTGGCAGCAGTGGGGCCACTCGCTATGATGTCCAGGGGGTCACCTATCACGTCAGACAGGATGAGACTCACCACCTATGGAAAGAAATGCCCACAGATTATTGCAGGTGACCACAAAAGCACACTGGCATAAGCACTGCTCTGAGTGCCATCCCCACACCAAAGCGGGTGGAAACAGGGTAGGTCTTCACCCATTTTTATTTTATGGCCCAGTGAGTGTCACCTTGCCCTTCTCAAACCCACAGCTTTACAGTCCCCTTTGAAGCTGGACTATCACGTTGGAAGATGTAACCTGTGACACTGCACTTGTCAGGCCCAGCCTAGTGTGGGCTCAGCAATGGGACATGCTGAGAACAGCCCCCAGGGGAGCCAAGGGTCAGAGCCAGCCTTGAAAGCACTGTGCTGAAGCACCAACACTTGGAAGTGCCTGCTGGGTGTGGGCTGGGATCTGCAGAGTGGCATGATGGGATGGCTGATGTTTCCCAAGTCTGAATTCCCACTCTCCCAGCTCTGTCTCCCTGAAAGTTTCGTTACAAAGCGAAATCTCAGCCAGAGACCTCTAAAACAGTGTGCAAAGTTGTTCACTCAGTATGGACAAAACCCCTGCAAGTTGTTTAAGCCTCTATTTTGAGGGTAGATGGGTGATCTCTGGGCAAACGGGGGCTTTCCCTTGGTTACCCGTGCAGGATGTGCCAGCTGGGCCAGCCCTCCACCCTTCAGCACGGACAGAGTCTTCCGGACAATGTTCAGCTCCTGTATGGCAGCTCCTCGGGAAGCCAGCATCTTTGTGAGTTTCTCCTTCTCCTCGAGGAGGATGGGAGGGATGGGAGCAGGCAGTAGGGCTGATCCACCCCCTAGGATGCAGAAGAGATGGCAAGGACATCAGGAGAAGGAGGACAAAGGAGAGCAAGGCTTTAGCCTTTTCTCTTCCCTCACCAGCGTCTGGAGGGAAGGCAGAGGTGACTGGGGACCTAAGCTAACATCTCTGGAGAATTCAGTCATCTTCAACAATGGGTTTTAATCACTGCTGTCCTGCTCTCTCTGCAGTCAGCTACACTTCACCAGGCAGTGTGAGCCTGGCTGGATGGGGCACCACCAGCCTGCAGTGTGGTGGGCATGACAGAAGAGGGGCAGCAGCTGCCCTCACCTCTGCACTGGGCTGCAGCTGGGTCCTCACACTGATATTCAGGGGTTACCTGGGTGGGGGAGCAGGGAGATGGCCTCCACAGCTCACACAGCAGCCAGTGCTGTGCTCATGGGGACACTGCCTGCTTTGGTGGCTCCATTTATTCAGGACAGAGTGTAAAAACACTGGCTAGGGATGCAGCAAGATTGGAAGCTGCTGAACTGCACTCGTCTAGGTCTGGGAGGAAAGAAAAAGGGGGACAGTAATGCAAAGGACAAAGCACACGCTGAGTCCAGGGTGATAGCTTCACTGGTGGGAATTCTGTCTGATACAAGCAGGCATTGGAAATGTGGAAAAGAAGGCAAGGTCCTAATGGAAAACTGGAATGGATGGAAAATACAGAGGAGAAAAGAGCAAGGTCTGTGCACAGAGTGAACGTGCACAGAAGTACAGCTGAATACTACTGTCAAAATGCAAAGCCTGCTCAGAGGTTTGAGACAAATCAGCATCAATAAAACATGATGAGCAAGAAAAACAAATGCAAATGCCTGTGTTTCAGTCAATAGCCAGGGATCTAGCTGAGAGGCAGGAGCAGTTGGGGACCGGCTGCTGTGTGGGAGGGCACATGCATAGGTAGTCACAGCCACGGGGAGATCCTGTACAGGCTCCCTGAAAGGCTGAGGAGTCTCTTGGAGATCCCTGAAGCCAAAAGACAGGAGGAAGCCCAGGGGAATCCCCAGGAAGCACAGCTAGCTTCCAGGCACTTGGGTGTTTGCCTAATGGCACTGCTCTCTCTGTACTGGATCAGGCTTCAGCATCTCAGAGGAATAAACACTGAGCAGAGGAGAACAAGCCTTTCTGCAGAGCTGCTCCAAGCCCCTGCATGCTTTTGTCCTGTGACAGCCACAGAGCTCAGGATGAGGTGATGTCACTGCATCCCTCAGATGCATCTTCTCACACAGCCCTGGATCTGGGGACAGCCTGGGGGCCACCAGCCAGGCCCTGGGGGTGTGCAGGGCTGCCCCTCAAGGCATGCAGCTTACTCTGTGGTACCTGGAGGCCTCATTTCCACTAGCTGGGAAGGAGCCAAGCCCTGGGAAAGGTCAGTCCCAGATCTCAGCTTGCAGACTCACGCTCCTGCACAAATGCAGAGCATGCAAATCTACCAAGTGCTTGCTTCCACAAGTCTGTGTCCCCAAATGTAAGGAGGGGGCAGGAAGAAAGTGTCTCCTTGCCAAGAGGTGAGAACAGCTGCCAGGCTGTGCCCAGAGGTGCCACTTCACTGTGGTGGCACAATTGCAGGACCCAGCCTGTGCAGCTCAGCCTCTTTCCAGTGCTGGGAGGCAGTGTGTCCACTGCACTGTGCTCTCTCTTGCTGCATGCCTGGAGAAAGGATGGCAGAAGGGAGAGGAAAAATCAGAGGTGCAAGTGTCCTTGCTGAAGGGGCTGGCACAGCACAGCACTCCCTTGCTGCAGGGTCAGGGGTGGGCAGGCAGCATTCCCTGGGATTCCCACACTACCTGAGATGAGCACAAGGAGCAGGTCATCTGCAGTCAGACCCTCAGCCAGCTCCTGGATGGCAACTGCTCCCTTCAGAGCCTCTGCATCTGGGAGGTTGTTCTTGGCACCTTCGATGACCTGGATTCTGCTGTGTGGCTTCAGCAGCATCTCCCTGGTGAGGTAAGAGAGGCAATTCCACCATGGATCTGTGCACCCACACAGGCAGCAGGCTGTTACCTGCAGGTGCCTGGTGTACCAGTGGCATACAGTGAGTGACCAGGACAGGCAGATGGCCTTTGCTGAGTGCCTCTTCCCTACAGCCAGAGAGGCAGCACACACAGCACAAGAGCGGGGCTGCATCACTGGTGTCACTGGGATGTGATGGTGGTTGAAGATGAGAGCGGTGGGGTGGATGGGGTGGGCATCAGAGCAAGGGCAGCTCAAAAGGATTTAGGGTGTTCATAGCAACATTCAACAGAGGGAAAATCTGGCAGCCTACACCCCTCCTTCCTGCTCCCCAAAATTGTCCAGAAACAGTCCTTACTGCATTCCTGCTCGCTGCAGGCTCTCCTGGATCCCCAGCGGCACATTGATAATCCCCCGAGTGAGGTGGTCTCCCAGGATCTCTTCTGCTGCTGCAGCCATCCCCAGCACAGCTTTTCCAAAACCCACCAGGTACAGGTCCCTCTTCAGTGGAAAGGCCTGGCCCTTCACCAGCAGCTGAGGGCACCCATCTCCCTGGAGCTTCAGAGCCCTCCTCAGCATGGGAGCGGGGCGCACGGTGCCCAGAGCGCCACGGAACAGGGACAGTGCGTGCTCGCGGAGGGACATGGTGCACAGGCTGCCAGGGCCGAGCCACTCTGCCTCGTGGGGTGGGCTTCTGCACTCCCTGCAGTGCCTCAAGGGCTGAAACAGCCAGCAGCCTCCAACCTGCAAGGGAAAGGGAACATTTTTGCTAGTAGAAGAGACAGGGCTGTCACAGAAAGAACAGAGAGGTCAAAACATGAACCGTGGAACTCTAGCTCCTGTTTCCCCTAGATTAAGGTGCTACACAAGCAGCATTTTCTAACTTTTCCCCAGGCAGGAGGAAGGGAAGGACAGTGTCACATTCAAACTGTCAGCTTGTGATTCCCCTGCAATCTCATCACCTCCTGCAGGGAAGGTGAGCTCTGCCAGCCAGCTTCTCCATCACTGTAGATTTGCCACTGGCAAGCCATCATTTCTATTTGCTTAGTGTTTGTCACCTTTCCAAACTGTGGAAGCTGCTCTCTGTCCTGGAGAGAGCAGGGCATCTGGGTGGAACAGCTTTTCACTACATTAACTCCCTTCCCCATGCTAGCCAAATGCTGATCTCATCCTCTGGCTGTGCATTGCCCCATGTGTCCCTGCAGCATCAGACACAGAGGAGAAACAACAGCCTTGCTGGCTGCCTCATCCCTTGCTGCTGGTGGCCACAGAGAGACCAGTAATGAGGTTTCCTCACCAAACGGCAAATTAACACAAGGCTTAATTTACCTTTCTGTTTTACTCCTCATTATCCATGAAAATCACATTTAGAGCCCAAATAAGAGTTCATATCCAGGCAAAATGTCTGTGAAAGCTGTGTCTGTGAAAGCCCATTTGAGCTGCTCTCCACTGAGCATTAGCATTATCTGCAACAGATCTGTGCATGGACCGAAAGATCTCAGCTGCTCAAGGGCAGATACTTGTCTTGACAGAGGAAAGGTGGCCCCTGCCAGCACACACACATCTATTCCCTCCCAGCATTTCTCCTTCCTTCTGTTAACTGGCAGCAAGTTCACTGCTGGTTTCTGAGGATCAAAGATCCTTGTGATCTGCATCTCTCCTGCTCATGGCATTTAAGGCAGGGTGCCAGGAGGCTGAAGCAGCCAGGGCAACACACTTGATCACAGAGCCATTGAAATTCCCTGAGAATTAATCCTCTCTCAAGTAAGTGGATGTGTTTTGTGTAAGGGCTTTTTAAGGAGAGCTCAGGAGTCCAGAGGTCTCTCTTTGTCCTGACACTCCCTAGCATTGCAAGGTGTTAATCATTAAGCTGGACAAGCTTTTCAACAGCTTCTCTGGGTCTAAATCTGCCTTATTTTTCTGCAGGGATGCAAAAGATCTACACAAAAATCCCCTACACACCTTCTCAGGCATTGAAACTTGAGCACACTCTGAAATCTCAGGACAAGGGACTTGTAGGTAAGGCTGTACAGAGAATTAAAAGTTTGTCAGAGAAAACCCCAAGAATTACTGAAGTGGGAAAAGACCCTTAAGAACAAGGCTAGCAGTAAACGATTCATTGCTTAGGAGAACAGATTTTAAAGCCAAAAGCCAAGGCAGATTAACTACCTGTGTGCACTCCCTTTAGGTGCTGGTCAGAAGCACTGGCTTTCCAACCACGAGGAGACAGGAGAACAAAAGACAGGGTGCCCTGACCACTTTGTTACTAGGCTCTTAAACTACATGGCAGCTGATGCTGCCAGCAGTTGAAACCACTGACCCCACTTCAGTGAGGGCCAGAGTAACTGTGCTGACCGCAATGGAGTCAGCCCTGCACCTCTCAGGAACTGAGATAAGCATCTCTGCTCCCAGCAGGTCTCTGACTCACCTGGCCCTGGGCACAGAGCAATCAGAGGAAGGTGCTACAAAGCAGAGGTGCATCACACCCCAGGTCACCTCGTCTGAGCTGCAATACAGGGTTTGCAGGAATGGCTGGAGAAGAAAAGCTTAAAGGGAGCCAGGGGAGTTTAAGAAAATAAAGCCCCAAAGTTTTGAACAGGCTTTGTCTCTGCCTTGATGTTTCTGTGCACAGCTCACCCTGAAGCCCGGGGAAATGGAGCACAAGCAGACCTGCAACCGTGGCTCCTGTCACACGTGCCCTCCTGGCAGCCCCGACAGCTCCAGCTCCAGCTCCAGACACGACACAGCAGGCCTGAGCTCTTCAAAGGCAATCCTCTCCTACTGGAGGTGGAAAAACTAAATGCCAGCTTAATTCATCTGGCACTTGTGTACATACTGCTAATGCTTACTCTGGAAAGCATTTCAGTACAATAGCAGGCATGTAATCTGTTTTCTGCACTCTGAACTCAGATTATATTTTAACCATGGAGGCCTGATCCAGAGTCTGTGGAAGTCAGCAAGCGTCCTTCCATTGCATCTCAGGATTTTGGGGTTCACTGCCTGGCACTGATCTCAGAGCACAGGTGTAAAGGCAGAGTAAACACAGTGTAAAACCCCCTTGCAGTCAGAGGTTATCCAACGTTATACCAGTGCAACAGAGAGCTGAATTTGGCACAGATCCATCTGCTTTGGATGTCTCAGTGTGTGACTCTGCTCCTTGTCAGCTCTGATTAGACACACAGGATCACTGGAGACTCCCCTTGGAATGGGGGTGCTGCTAATGATACCACAAATCCCTTTTTATGTAATTTATTTATACAGTCTCAGGCACTGGGTACCAAATGTCATCAGGGAACAGCTATAAATCAGTGCTATGAAATCCACTGTAGATATTAACAAAAAATAAAACTCCTACTCATTTTACTAAGGCTTTAAAAACAAGATCAAGAGAACTGAATATCACCCCAAAACACAGGCAGTGTGGAAAGAAAAATAACCCAAATGGCAGCTCTCAGGCTCCCTCCCCAGATGGTGGGTTTAGAAGTGGTGTAATTGCCTGTTAACTGCTACATATTGCACAAGGGGAAATTACACCCTCACATCCCTGCGTTTTCCTCTTCCCACTGCTGGCTGTGAGGAATCTGGGCTGGGAGAAGGGGTTGATGATGTGACTCACATTACTTCATGCACTAATCTTAGTTTCTCAGGAAAATCACTGAAGGATGAATGAGCCCTCTTCTACATGGATATAAGGTGACAAGCTATAGGCACAAGTGAGGTTCAGGTTTCACACCTTCCCTTTGTCCCTGCCTGGGATAATTTGGAGTTGGGATATAGACAGTCTTTTGAAAAGTTTCCTGTAAGTTCGTATTAAGCTTAGGATGAAAATGATGCTAAGAATTGCCTGTTCCAAAGAGAGCTGGAGGATTGTAAGGGGTTTAGATTAATCCCCTTTAAATGAAAACTTCCTCAGCTTTCATTCATGAATAATCTACACACTTATAATAATCTACACACACCATTATAAGCCCTTTCTTCAGAGGGCTCCTCCTAAGCCTGTAGAAATTTCCACTGTTAGCTCTCACACCAAAATGCAGCAAAGCCCCAACTTCTCATTTTCACTTTCTCTGGGAAAGAAGGAGGGGAAGGAGCTGGACTGTGATAAAATACAGGCAAAATGCTCGTTTGCATTACCTTTCATTAACTTTTTAATTAAAGCAATTCTGCAGGCACGGAGCCAAAGTCAGAGTGAGACAGAAAGAATCCAGCAGCAGGGGCAGAAATGTGGTAAAGCTGCCAAGTAAATTGGACAGTGGCAAGAGACCAAAAGCATGGACATAGCGGGGCAGAGTCTGAGCCATAAACTTGGAGGCACACTGGGGAAGAAAACAGTGAGCAAATGAGCTGGCCATGCCCATGCAGTGAGAAAAATGAGCCAGCACCTCACTCCATGGCAGGCACTTGAAAGCTAGAAAAATCCTCCTTTCCAGTGGCCAGTCTGCCATCACTGGGCAGAGCTGAGCTGTTCCAGGTGCTGCAGTTGGAGGTTTGTTCAAGGATTTGCATCTTGGGCTTGTGGTTTTTTTGAAGTTGGGGCAATTGAGCTTATTGCAGGCCAACTCAACCACACACACATCCTGAGCATTTCAGGTGCTGTGAGATCAGAGGATGCTGTGCCAGAATGCATGATTTAACTGAGAACTTCAGGGACCTAAGTTACTTTAGCTTCAGAGCTGTCAGGATGCCTCTGGATTTCCTCCAGGACTTGTGGCTGGCCCACCTTGTACAGGGTCAACTTCAAAATCCACGAGGGGCTAGGAAAATATTTGAAATAGCACTGGATCAAACCCCAGTTGTTGGAGGATAATTTTGAGCTCAAGCTCTAAGAGACAGATTACAGTAGTAAACTCCCAGACACAGCAAGTTTTAGCAGTGTCTCTTGCTCCTCGTTTTTCTTGCTGCGTGACTTTTTTCTGGCCTCTCAGCATGTAAATTACTGACAGACTCACCAAGGCTCCCTGCTTCCATTTCTCCTGCATCACCAGGGGAATTTACCTATGAAGTACAACAAAGTGGAGATTTTACTGCCTTAAACTCCCCCGTTCCCACTTACTGACACATCTCCTCTATCATTTGATATATCAGCTTTAATTTGCCTGGTGAGCCCTGCTCAAACCCAAGCTTGCTGCTCCACATGGTCCCAAAAGCATTACAAGAAAATTTTCCAGGAGATGCACTAAACCCAGGAGGGAAACAACGCACTGAAGGCTTGTTCCAAGTGACTATTCTGGGAGGATTAGATGGGGGATTTTTCAAGACTAATCTCTTTAAATGAAAATTTCAGAATTTGATTAATTTTTTAATCTGCACATGGATTTGCATAAAATTACTGCACTGCCTCATTCACATTTAGCAAAAGAGAAAATGTCTGCAGCAAGGATGGGCAGCTGTGAAGGGTCCAGTGCACGAGTGGGTGTGCAGGGACAGGGTGAGGGGCCCTTTGCCCCCCTCACTGCAGTGCTCCTGCATCCAAAAGTGGGAAAAAGTGGGAGGGTGGTCAGCAGCAGTATGATGAGACCAGAGGGTTTGCCAGGCAGGCAAGGGAGAAAGTAGGATGGAGCCTGGATACCTTTGTTTTAAGAATATGCTGAGCTCTGGGAAACCCAGGAGTCCTAGTTTCCAGTACATGGCTTTCTATATGTTGCTTGGAAAAGAAATATGTTGCTCTCGTGACTGATTTACTCACCAGGAAAGTGTCAACAGGGTCTCTTTGCCTTTGATGGGGAATGTGGCTTAAGGCCAAACACAGGGAAGATAAGTGTTCTATTCAGCATTTTATATATATAGATCAGTATCATTAGCAAAAAAAAATTAACTGGATTTGACATATGCATCTTACTAGTTTTTCTAGGTCACACTCCCTTCACTCCCTATATACCTTTTGGAAATGATTTTCCCATGCTCTGGGGATTGCAAGGAAGAAAAAATTTTCACTAAAAATTCTTCTGTAGCTCAACACAGAACACTACTACCCTGAAGCCAAGCCCATGCCAAGTCTACTTCCTTTCATGCTGTAATTTCTCAAGCTCCCTATTCTGAGTCAACTTGCCATCAAAGATGAGAGTCATTGAAAATCCAGGGAAGGATCACAGCATTCTAGAGAAGATGAAAAGCTGCGAGCCTTGAGGACTGGAATAGTAGAAAGGGGTTGAAATTCAGTGCTGCGAAATACAAGGTCATGGTCTTTGGGATTAATAGCAGAAAATTATGAGCTCCTCAGCTGGAAATAACATAAGAGGAGAAAGAGCCAGGAATCTTAATCAGTCACAGGATGACAATTACAGCTGCCCTCTGGGCTGAGACAAGAGGCTGTGAGGAACGTGGAAAGCAGCAGATGTGAGCTGCCTGGACTCTGCTGAGGTGTTTGACATCATTCCTGTGAGCACGCTGGAGGGCGGGTGGGCAGTCACAGCCAGCCCCTCTGGACAGCAGCCTGAGCACGGCTCAGAGGGCAGAAAGCAGTGGCTCGGGGTCCAGCTGACATCTGGCAATCCACAGGGACTCTGCTGGTGTTCGTGCTGCCCCACGGCTTCATCAGTGACCCGAGAGCAGCACAGAGTGCTCAGTTTGGGGGAACTGCTGATGGAGGCACCTTCCAGAGGAACCGTGATGAACTCAAGGTGGGGGCCCACAGAAACCTCAGGACATGAGCAGGGAGAAGTGTGAATTTCTGCTGCTGAGCAAGCACAAGTCCCTGTATTGTGCAGGTTCCAGTGGTATCTAATACAGAAATGCATAGGTAGAATAACTGCATTTGATCGATATTACTCAAGCAGCAATTAAACGTTTTTTCCATTAACTAATTTTGCAGGGGCATTATCCATAATTCCTACTTAATATGACATTTTTCTGGGAGATCCAATTATCCTGCCAGCTAAATTCCAGCTTGGTATAAACTGACAAACTAAGTTCCAACGATTAGGAAGAAAGGCAGAAGAATAAAAAGGAAGTGACAAAATATCAAATCAACAACCCACGGTGTTATACAACTCTAAAACTTAGCTAAGTATTGTAGGTGTTTTGAAGTAAATTGTCTTATGATGTTATTGGTGAGTCACCTCCGGGCCCGCAGGAGATAATCCAGGCTCTGATCCTGCAATTTAGAGTGTGCAGGAGGCACGACATTCCCAGCTTTTCCAAAACCTCTTATCACACAAAAATAAATCAGTTGTGGGTTTTGAACTGGCCTAACAAAGGGGCAGCTGACCCCGAGACCCTCGGGAGGAATGAGGGTGTGTTTTGGTATCCCTGGATTCCCATGTGAAAGTCTTACTTTGTTTCAAAGTAATAAAGGTAAATCATTGTGAGGAGCCAAACCCACGGCACTGTGAAAGGATGAGATCACCAAAAGTTAACAGGGAGCTCCAGCAAGCAAACAGCGAGGGCAAGGGCTCTGAGAAAAGAAATAATTAACTAGATCAGACAAAAATAAATGCACACAAAATAATTCAGCCCGTTTGAAGGACGTGCAGAGCTTTAACAGTCCTTGGACTTGCTGAGGTTTGACCACAGGAGGGCAACAGGATCCAAAAGCAAAATCAAACTATTCTGGACACCTTGAAAGGAAATGCAATTAACGTTCAGGAAGGCATCTACAGTTTAATTTTTTCTTTTGATTGTGTTTCTGGGGGATTGAAGTGACAAGATCTCCTGGTTTCTAAATTTAAAATAGCAGAAAAGTTTGTCAGGTGAGATTTTCACAGCTACTCTTATACTCCAGCTTTATAAGGTAAGAAATACACAAAAACAGGCACACTGTCATCAGGATTTGTGACAGACAAAAGCAGTTCCAAGGT